TATGTATAGTACCCCTTCCTGGTACATGCTCTGAGCTCTGCTGAGGCTAAGCCCTGAGTCTGGGCATTGGGCGGGGGCAAGGGGGCTGCTAACTCAGCTGGTAAAGAATCCGCCTGCAATGCAGGGTACCCCAGTTCAATTCCTGGGTCAGGAAGATCCACTGGACCCCAGTGTTCTTGGGTTTCCCAGCTAGCTCAGCTGGTAAAGAATCTGCCTGCAATGCGGGAGACCCGAGTTCGATCCCTGGGTTGGGAAGATCCCCTGGAGAAGGGAATGACTACTCACTCCAGTATTCTGGCCTGGAGAATTCCATGGACTGTATAGTCCAATGGGTCACAAAGAGTCAAACACGACTGAGCAACTTTCACTCACTGAGCCCACCACCACCTCAGATTTTCCAGAGGAGAATCAAGAGGTTTGGGGTGAGATCACATCATTTGTTCAAACCAATACAGCAGATGACGGAAGAACAGGAACTACACCTGGGGGTCCATGCAAGTCCCGACCGCCCTGCCCAGCAACTGGCTTGCACAAGGACAGCCCTCCTAGGCTAACTGCATTCCCCCAATTCAGTCCTGCTCAACTCTGCTCTCCATCTGTTTCTTTTCTTAAAATATAAAAGTGATACTTTGTAACAAGATGGATTAACTATAAAAACATTATGCCAGTAAAAGAAGCCAGACACCGAAGTGTGCACATTGTATGATTCCACTTAGGAAGTTTCTGGAGAGAGCAAGACAATCCAGAGGGAAGGCAAATCCTTGGGTGCAGGAGGCTGGGACGAGTACAGGTGCGGGGGAACTTTCTAGAATGATGGGCGTGTCCTAAAACTGAACTGTGGTAACATTTGCACAACTGTCTGAATTTACTAAAAATCACTGAACTATGAGATAGGTGAATTGTATGGCATGGAAACATACCTCTTCAGTAAAGCTGTTTCTAAAAAGTGGTAATTACATACACCCTTAAATATATAAAGTGAAAGGTGGTCATTCAGAAGTATAATGACTCCCACTAGACCCTCCATCACCATATCTTTTCCTCCCAACTTCAACATCTACAAGTTTTGGACTTCTCCCTCTCCCTTCCTGCCTCCTCTTGGACCCATGGATGCTCTTAAGGAGGCTCCTGAAGCCTTCCCAGGAAATGGTAGCACTCCCTTCCTCTCCGCCACAGCCCCCAGCTCAAGACCAGCAGAGGTGAGGGGGCATCAGCATTCTCCCAGCTCCTCCCTCACCTCTTCTGTCCTGTTGCCAACACTCCAGACCTCCTCCTTCAGAGCCCCATTGCCCAGTGGTGACCTCAAAGCTCTCCTCAAGCCCCCTGCTCCCAGTGACTCCTGGCTCACATCTCCTCTCCTCCCAACACCCCCCCATATCCCAACATCCTCCTGATGGCTTGTGCAAGGGTGAACTTCACCTTCAATCCACTCAGTTTTCCTTCTCGATGCACTCTGACCTCTATACTGAAAGAAACCTTCCTCTAGTCCCATTGCTCCCCTGGTGACCTATGCTCTTCTTTCTCCCCCTCACAAGCCTGTCGGAAGAATAGCCAGTACAGCATCCCTTGTGTGGTCTGCACCTAAGTACCTCTTCCTCTGTCATCCGTGCATCAGAGTCTGGCTCCTGCTTCCGCCACTGCAAGAACCTGTCCTCCAAGACATTCCTGGCCCACACTCAAGATGCAACATATCCCACTAGCATCACCCCAGACCCACCAGTTTCCTCACTGCCATCCATTCATCCCAGCCACAAATGGAAAACAGAGAAATCCAATTCAATATAACCAACACGTGTTAAATAACCATCATAAAGCACAGAAGAGCACTCTGCCACGATCTAATTGTGCCCAGTATACTAATCTTCCCTAAACCAATTTGTGATAACGAGCGCTATGTTCACTCAAGGAAAAACGTAAACCTCAATAAAAATGTAAGTCTGTGCAGGGGGGAAAAAAAAAGTCTGTGTAGGTTCTACAGGAGTTCTTTCAAACGCTCTTTTTGTTTCCCCCCACACTTTGAATTTTTTATTTTGTTGCTATATCAAATGCTCTTTTAAATGCTCAGTCTCCAAAGTCAAGACAGCAAGTGTTGACAGTTAGTCAAGGAGAGAACTCAGCCGGCAGGGATATGGGCCGAGGCCAACCATGATTCAGCAGCTACGCTTCCTCTGCCCAGCTTTAGCACCAGCACCTGCCCTTCTTTAGGGACAGAAATTTCAGTCTGTGGCCACTTCTTTTTGCTTTACTTACTTCATTCCATTTTGATATGAAGTAGTTTACCCAGGGAAACTAGCAACACTTTAAAAAAATTTCCTGGGAGCAAAGGGTAATTGGATACCTGTACTGAATAATGTTTAACCAATACATGCTTTTTAAAGTTAGTTGGATAAAAACCAGGGGGTCTGATGAAGCAGCCAGTCTGCTATCAGTGACCCGTATCTAATGCCCCATCATTCTGATGCGTGGTGAGAGGCAGAGGAGAAGACCGAGATGGGTAGTTCCTACTTGGATTGCTCCTCTTTAACTGGGTCAGGTCTGTGTGCTGCGCTTAGTCGCTCAGTCGTGTCCAACTCTTTGTGACCCCAGGGACTGCAGCCTGCCAGGCTCCTCTGTCCATGGGATTCTCTAGGCAACAATACTGGAGGGGGTTGCCATGCCCTCCTCCAGGGGATCTTCCCCACCCAGAGATTGAACCTGGGTCTCCCGCATTACAGGCGGATTCTTTACCATCTGAGCCACCAGGGAAGCCGGGGTCAGGTCTGGGTTAAGTATTAAAAAGGTATCATACTGCCAATGAAAATAACTATTTAATCAAGCCAAATTTCCTATTCAGCTAGCATACAAAAAGCATTCAAGAACTAAGTCATTCGATAATCATCAAATTACAGAGCTGGTAGGAAGTTCACTAAACCAACCCAGATTTAACAGATTATGAAACTGATATCCCGGGAGGGAAACACACATGAGGCAGTCCTGTTAAGCAATCACAAGCAAAGACGCTAGGTCTAACCTGGCAGCCACTGGCCACACTTGGTAACTGAGCATTTCAAAGGTGACCAGTTGAAACTGAGTGAGTGAGTGAAGTCGCTTTTTGCGACTCTGCGCAAAAGTCCAACTCTTTGCGACCCCATGGACTGCAGCCTACTAGGCTCCTCCATCCATGGGATTCTGCAGGCAAGAATACTGGAGTGGACTGCCATTTCCTTCTCCAGAAAGTAAACATAAACAGGGAAAAAGAACTGGGCCGACTGCACATAACCCCACAGTGGGGGTCAAATGAGTTCACTTGTGATTGCCTGTGCATCTCGTCTCTGAGAACCGAAAGATTCAATGAGTTTTTTAATAACAACTTTATTAAGGTATCTAATTCACATATCATACAAGTGAACCTATTAAATATACAATTCAGTGGTTTCTAGTATCTTCACCAAGTCACGCAACCATCACCATTCTCTAATTCCAGAACGTTTTCATCATCCCTAAGAGAGACTCCATACCCATTAATGGTCATTCTCTGTTCCCTCCTCTGCCTACACCTTGTCAACTACTAATCTACATTCTGTTTTCACAGAGTTTCCTATGCTAGACTTCCATATATAAACAGAATCCTGTGGTCCTTTGTGACTGGCTTCTCTCACTTAGGATAATGTTTTTAAGGTTCAGCCATGTTGAAGCATCTATCCATACCTTGTTCTTTTTTATAGCCAAATAATAATACCTTGTGTGGACAGACTATACTTTTTGTTTATCCATTTATTGGACACTTGGATTGTTTCCACTTTTAGGCTAACAAGAATAAAACTGCTATAATCATTTGAGTACAAGTTTTTTGGGGGGACATATTCTTTTTTTTTCTGAATATATACCTAAGAGTGGAATTGCTGGGGTCACAGTTATTAACCTTTTGGGGAACTGCCTGTCTTCCAAAGCAGTTACACTACACCATTTTACATTTGCACCTGGAGGCTGCACTTTTAATGTATTTACAAATGTAGATTCTTCCCTCTCTAATTTCTGCCAGGCTGATTTGCTGAGAGTGCCAGGAAAGATGAGTAGGAAGGGGTGAGGGCAGAGCAGCAGGGGAGGGGTGTGGAGGGCAAGGAGACTCATGATGCTGCTTCCAGAGTCCTGTCTGCAGCTATGCGGCCTCACGCGAGTCACCTCCGGTCTTCAAGCCTCAGTTTCCTTATTTATTAAAATGAAGGCGCTAGACCAGTAGGTCTCACCTAAGGACATGTAGCAAAGTCTGGAGACAATGTTGGTTGTTACAGTGGCTGGGTGATGCTCCTGGTACCTAGAGGACAGAGGTTAGGGATGCTGCTAAACATCTTACATGTGTAGGACAGCCCCCCAACAGTAAAGAATTACCTGGATGGACCCAAGGGTCTACAGGGCCAAGGTTGAGAAACCCTGCATTAGACTGAGGTGACCACACATGGGCCATTTTGAGGAACAGCCAAAATGGTTTCAAAAATGGCTGTACCACTTTATAATCCATTCAGCAGTGGGGGCGGAGGTGGAGTGGTGAGTTCCATTCTCCACATCCTCATCAACACACTTATTTTTGCCAACCTAAGAGGAACGTCTGTTCTACTTATGGTTGCTGGGGGAAGCGATACTTAGAGAGTTTGGGATGGACATGCACACATGGCTACATTTAAAACGGATACCCAGCAAGCACCCGCTGTCTAGCACAGGGAACTCTGCTCAATGTCACGTGGCAGCCTGGATGGGAGGGGGGGTTTAGGGGACAAGGGATATCTGTACATGTATGGCTGAGTCCCTTTGCCGTTCACCTGAAATCATCACAATACTGTTAATCAGCTATACCCCAATACAAAATTAGAAGTTTAGAATAAATAAAATCTTGATAGCTTCAACTCCATCCCAAAGCAAAACCAAACCAAAAAAAATAAATAAAAAGCCTGTTCTAATAACAAGGTCCAGGATTGTTAACAGACTGCCAGTGTCATACATGAAAAGATGAGTCATTTTCTTACCTGGTGCCTGTAATTATACCAGCCATTTGATCCTGCGACAATCACCACCCAGTGCTTGCCTCCATCCTCAGGGTCATCCAGGGGAACAGCACCAATTCCCAGGACCAAGCTGAGCAACACAGTGACTTCCCAAATCATCCTGCCCCGTTGGAGTTCCACTGCAGAAATCTAGGAAGAAAAAGGCAGAGTCAAGCGAAAAAGGAATGACAAAACCAGAAGAACACTACTGGCCCCTAAGACAAGATCACAGAAAATGGGTCAAACTTCCCTGGAGTGGAGCAGGGGGGTGCCCATAGCGCCCCACCTTCACTACGGGTTGAAGTTAAGAGAATAAACCAAAGAATATTGAGGAAGCTCTTGGGGCAACTTTTTAAAGTTTTTGTCACAACTTGGAATGCGGAAAACAAAATTCACTAATAAACTTCACTGTGTTGGAAAAATATCTACCACATACTATGAACTGTTTTAAGAAAAGAACAGACATATACTGTGTGCATAGCAAAATGTGGAAGGCAGACAAAATCTAACAGTTATTCTTGAGTGGTAGATAGGTAGAAAAAAGAATGATCTTCTTTCTTTTTGTCTCTCTTTACTACAAATAATATATATTACTTATACAACAAAGTTTGTAAAAATTCAACATACACTTGATGTAAATACTGAGGGGCAATTTATGCATGTGAGCTATCTGGGTAAACTATAGTCTAACACTGGCAGCCCAAATGAATGTCTTTGTATAATGCTTACAACCCATTTACATTATTCTGTACAAGAGGCTGGGCAAACATTTTAATCTTTGTTTTACTGGATGGGGAGGTTGAAGCAAGAGAGAAGTGACTTACCCAATATTCATGGACAGTCAGCACTGGCCACAGAGCAGAACCCATGCCTTCTGAATTCCTGGTCCACCCTTTCTGCTACATGGTTCCACATCTCAAGACTTTATTCTTAATGAAGTACATGCCCAATTTTACACTTCACAGCCAAAACTTTAAAGAGTTTTAAAGCACAAAAGGCAGAGCTAAGGCCGAGTCCTGGCCACCCTGTATTACTCAGACAAGTACGCTGTTTTAATGGCCTGTGTCCTGACTATGTTATTTTTTTAAAAGCCTTCCTATGGCAGAAGCCAGGCCTGTCATTCTGAGATAAGAGGAAAAACAGTCGTTGAGATGTAGGGACTCAGAACAGAATAGTCTACGAGGCTAACCTCTGCCTCTGATGCTTTTTGACAAAACAGTGCTTATTTACTCATTCATTAATGCATTCACTCATTCATTCACCCACTCAGAGTCTCCTGAACTCTGACCCTGCCAGAAAAAACACTGGGGGTTGGGAACGCAGTAGGGACAAGTCGAAGTCTCTGTCCTCATGGACTGCAGAGCCAGCTAAGGCACGAAAGAAGTCTAGGAAACCATCCTCAGCATCTGTGCCTAAGACCGTGCTAAACCTCAAAATGATGGGATTTCCTCCCAAGTGAAAAAACAGGAAGCCCTGAGTCTGGTAAAAGTTATAAAAAGTAAAGACACTTTACTTTTTTTTAAAAAAAAGTAAAGGCCAGCACTTCTCCAAGTTGACTATACGCCCAGATTGCCTGGGGGGCCTGTTAGAAGGTGGAGTCTGACTCAGTAGGCATGGGCAGGGCCTGAGACTCTGCATTTCTGACAAGCTCTGGGTGATACCCAGGACTACACTTAGCCGCAGCAGGCCTCTTACTGGGCAGTCAGCTCTGCCCAGAAGCCCAGCTTCCTAGTCAAGAAACTGTACTACTCTATCCCCGGATGACTTCTCCCAGGAACTCAATTCTTCACATGTAAGAATTAAGAATCTGAGGTGGGGGGACTTCCCTGGCAGTCCAGTGGTTGAGACTCTGAGCTTCCAATACAGGGGGCAGGGGTTCAATCCCTGGTCAGGGAATTAGGATTCTGCATGCCACACAGCATGGCCAAACAACAAAAAAGAATCTGAGTTGGTGCTAGATCCAGGTTTCTTTAGCTCCACTACAAAGTCATGGATGCACAGCTAGTTAGCTAGTTAAGTAGCTCAGTCGCCTCCGACTCTTTGCGACCCTGTGGACTGTAGCCTACCAGGCTCCTCCCTCCATGGGATTCTCCAGGCAAGAATACTGGAGTGGGTTGCCATTTCCTTCTCCAGGGGATCTTCCCCACCCAGGGATCGAATGGGTAACTACAATAACGCGCCCCAGATTTGGTTCAAGATTGTCTTGAAATGGTCAAGGTGAGTAACAAATGAGGGTAGTGGACTTCCCAGGCCACCCAGTCCCGGAACCCGCTGGTCTATTAATATGTCACTGTGTATGAGAGGATGTTTTCTCATGTCCACTTGACCTGCCCAGGGCTCACCGAGGGAAAATAAAAGGGGAAGTGATACAAAGGTATGAAGCAGCAGCAGTGAGGTCAGGCAAGAGACAGTCAAGCTCCCACCCCCAGAGCTCTGCAGGGGCCCCCACACTGGGCGGGGAGTGTGCCAGTGATAGGGGAGGCCATGCAACCAGCAGCCTCCCAAGAAGCCTTCTCCTGGGGCAGGGGTCAGCAAACTCTCTGTAAAGGGCTGGAAAGTAGGTATTTTCAGCTCTGCAGGTCACGTCATCCCCATCGCAACTCTTCAGCTCTCCCACTGTATCACAAAGCAGCCACAGACATACAGAAACCAGTGAACACGGCTACATTCCAATCAGACTGAAATAGGTGGTCTCTGTGGCCTGCCCTCAGGAGCCAGAATGTGTTCTCAGCCCACATGGCAGGTACAGTCTGGGGTTTTTATCATCTTTCATCATCAGTCATAAAATAGGCTTTCTGGTTTGCATACCACTCTTTCTGAGTGTCTATCATGTGACTCAATCCTGAAGAGGCTGATCAGTCTGGAGGCACTAGTGCCTGACTTCTTCCTTTCTTTTTTGTCTTTCTCTTTTCCTTTTTTTTTTTTTTTTTTGTGCCTCAGGGCATGTGGGATCTTAGTTCCCCTGACCAGGGGTGAAATCTGTGCCCCCAGCAGAGGAGGCTCAGAGTTTTAGTCACTGGACTGCCAGGGAATTCCCCCTTTCATATTTAAATAAAATATACTAGAGTCAACGGTTGGTCTGCCTGAGCCACAGAATAGACACCACCAGCTCAACTGCCTAAATCAGCAAACAAAAAACACCACCAGGTTGTTTTTACAAATTCCAGTTTACCTTCCATTCTTCTACTAAAACACTAGCAAGTTACTCCTTGGTGAGGGAAAGTACCTTATTCATACACAAGGGACATTTTCAGAGTTAACATTTGGCGATTTTCTTGTCTTTTTTTTTTAATTATTAACACAGAGTTGTGGTTCCTTGAATACAATGCCAAGTTACAAGCCTCACCATGTGACACCGATTGGGAAATGCCACTTAAAAAACACAAACACTAACATGTTGGGAAACGTACGGGGTCTGGGTCTGGGGTGAAGGAAAGATGTGAAGTAATACAATCCTTCCATCACCCTTAGCAATGAACATGTCTCAAAACAGCAGGTTTCAGATGGAAATTTCCTGGTCAGCACTATTCTTGACAAAGTCAAGAGCAGGAAAACAAAGTCACAAATAATCTTGCAGCATACCTATGATTCTTGTTTCAGCAGAGTAAAAAGTTCATGAATAAAAAGTAAACAATGATCCCTGGGACTTCCCTGATAGCTTAGTGGTTAAGAATCTGCCTTCCAATGCAAGGGACTCAAATTTGATCCCTGGTTGGGGAACGAGGATCCCACACGCTGCAGGGTAACTTAGTCCACAGGCTGCAACTAGAGAAGCACCACAATGAAGACCCAGCGCAGCCAAAAAAAAAAAAAAGTAAATGATCTCTGCCAAACTGGCCCAGGAAGACTGCTATTTCTTGCCCATGGCGCTCCACGGCCCCAGTCACACAGGCATCGTCTTCTACTTCTTCCTATCATCTACTCATCCATCCAACACACACGGCCTGAGCACCCACGAGGTGCTCACAGGGACTGAACAGGGAGCCAAACTGGCGAGACCCTTTGCAGAGCTGACATTCTAGCAGGAAGAGACAGGTTGTCCGGTGGTCATGAGTGCTGGGGAAGAAATACAGGCAGAAGAGGAAGTCCCGGTGGGAGTGTCAGGTATCGTTTTTCAAAAAGGGAAGATTTTAAGAAGGTGAGGGAGCTCGCCCATTTGTAGCAGCAAAACCCCAGAGGCAACAAATGGTCATTTATGGGGGTTGTCTGTTGCTGCTGTCCAGTTGCTATGTCCATCTCTTTGCAACCCCATGGACTGTAGCCCACCAGGCTCCTCTGTCCTCCACTATCTCCCAAAATTTGCTCAAATTCAGGTCTACTGAGTTGATAATCCTATCTAGCCATCTCATCCTCTGCCACCCCCTTCTCCTTTGGCCTTCAATCTTTTCCAACATCAGGGGCTTTTCCATCTACAGAGTACTATTTATCAAATCAATTATCTATGTGTGTGTGTGTGTTAGTAGCTCAGTCATGTCCAACTCTTTGCAACCCCATGGACTGTAGCCCACCAGGCTCCTCCATCCATGGGATTTTTCAGGCAAGAATACTGGAATGGGTTCCCAATCCAGGAATCGAACTTGGATCTCCTGCATTGCAGGCAGACTCTTTACCCTCTGAGCCACCAGGGAAGCCCTAAATCAAATATGATACATCCTTACGATGGGATACAGTGACAACTTTAAAAGAAAAAGGTAGTTCTTAAAAGTGCTGAGAGTGGGAAGGCCCCTGAAAAGATGCTCAGGGGTATGTGTTTAGTCTGGTAACCATTTGCAGGGAGAAAATGACCCAGGGGAGGTGTTGCTCTAACCAGGGGAGAGAGGAAAGTCTCCCCAGAGTGCTCTGTGCTGCTTGCTGCACAGCGAGGGCAGGATATGCGTGGGTATCTATGAACCAAGGAATGTGCAAGGCACTTTCCCACCCTCACAACAGCCTGTGAGCAGTCTCATTACCCCCTCCAGCTGAGACAGACTAGCAGAGGTAGAGAAACTTGGTGGAAAGTGGCACTGCTGGGTAACACACAGATCTGCTTCCAAAGATTGCTTCTTCCACTACACCACCTCGCTTGTCACACCACAAAAGCATTGTTTCTCTGACTATCTCAGAAGCCCTGTAACCACAGGTGGGAGGGCTACAGCCCACATTCCGGGGCCTCCAAGTTTCCTCCAGCAGCAGGATACCCAACGTGCCTGCTCTTCATCACCCCACTATTTTAAGGCACTTGTGGGTAATCGGTTATAAAAAGGTCTTATAAGAAGAGCCCATCAAAGGAGAACTTGAACTACACAAAGTCAAAGTCAATGGACAAGCCTTTACAAATGAATTTTACCAGCCTCCAACGCCAGGTCCTCGCAGCTCCCACTGGGCCAGCGACCCTCTCAGGTTAGAGGGCTACATGAAGGCACTGATTCAGCTGAAGGACTCTGCTTCAGGCACTACCATCAAGTGGGGTCTGATCCAACAGGGGAGGTTTGGGACAGACCCGAGTGCACATGCTAGATCAACTGTCACCAGCAACAGAAGTAACAAGGCTACAGTCAGAGGACCGTCTAAATAGCAGGACCAAATTCAAATCCAGGTCTGACACCAAAGCCGAGACCTGGACCACCCCGGTGACCTCCCACATCAGGCCTGTACTTGCTACTTGCTCTGGGTTAGAGACAGCGAACCATTAAGGCCAAGCAAAGCAGCTGGGCAGACAATGACATCTATAAAGAGCCTTCCAAACCTACAGGTTTTAGATCTCGCTCTCTGTTCTTTGGGGGCTTACAACCAAATCATCATGCAAGTGGTCCCTGGCTGATAACACGCAAAAGAGGCAAGGACAGGAGACGGGCCCTCCTTCACCAAACTGAAGTCAAGTTCCTCTGAGCCCGACCAGACTTTGGCCCGCTGAGCACAGGTTTAGCAATCTCCCATCTTTGGCATCTAATCAAGCTTCTCTTAGCAATTTTTCAGCCACTGACCCTCCCACTCTACCTACTGGCAATAAATCTCAGTTGTCCTTGATGTATTTGGAGTTGAGCTCAGTTCTATATGGAGCTTTCTCCTCTGATACAACAGCTAGAATAAAATCCATCTTGTCATTTTAAAAAAAAATTGCCTAGGTTACATGGCATGTGGGATTTTAGTTCTCCAACCAGGGATCAAACCTGTGCCCCATGCACTGGAAGGACAAAGTCCTAACTACTGGACCACCAAGGAAGCCCCCATCTTGTCATTTTTAACAAATGTCATGTAAAATTTCTCTTTAATACAGGACAATTACTAAGTTACTATAGTTCCTAAGTCCAGGGAGACCCTGCCTCACCTTAATTGTTCATCTGTCAAATGGGATGGTAGAACTAAATTATTAAGGGCCCATTCAGTTCCCATATCCTTTTATTTTCTGTTTCAAGGGTAAAATGGGAAAGGAAAAAAAAAGAAAAAAAAGAAAATCCAAGTAGTCTTATCCCAAATCTCAAAAAAAATGGATTTTGTTCAAGTGAGTGAATAAATGTTTTTTCATAGGGAACATTTATGATTCAGTAGCAAAGCACATTCTAGATTAGAGCATGTCCTTCAAAATTACCTAATTCTGATTCTATGGAGGACTTCCCTGGTGGCTCAGCTAGTAAAGCATCTACCTGCAATGATTCTATGGAATTTTTTTTCCCCACAACTCTGTAAACTGTAGATACTAGAAATGAAAATAATTATTGTCTAAAAACATGCAAATGAATTCTATTAAGTGGAGGTGCAAGTGACTCCCCCATTGAAAGAAAGAAGCCAGGTTTCCCATTGCACATTTCAGAATTTCTAATCTACAAATGTACTTTGTACTTTGGAATCTCCTTTCAACTGACTGTAATATGTATAGAGTGATGTTGTTATTCAGTCACTAAGTCACATCCAACTCTGCAACCCCATGGACTGCAGCTCGCCAGGCTTCCCTGTCCTTCACTCTCTCTGAGTTTGCTCAAACTCTTCTCCATTGAGTCAGGGAAGCCATCCAGCCAGCTCATCCTCTGTCACCCATTTCACTTTTCAAAAATTATCCTTTGAAACTCCAATACTTTGGCCACCTCATGCACAGAGTTGACTCACTGGAAAAGACCCTGATGCTGGGAGGGATTGGGGGCAGGAGGAGAAGGGGACGGCAGAGGATGAGATGGCTGAATGGCATCACCGACTCGATGGACATAAGTTTGAGTAAGCTCTGGAAGTTGGTGATGGACAGGGAGGCCTGGCATGCTGCGATTCATGGGGTCGCAAAGAGTCGGACACGACTGAGCAACTGAACTGAACTGAACTGAACATTTCAAAATGTACAAGCAGCTAAAACATATTTCAAAATACACACAGTCAAGAAAGATTTTTAAATGTACTAATGACTAGAAGAATTTGATTTTTGGTTAATGGTTTTTCTACATTTTTATTTTCACTGCTTATTTGGCATTTGGATTTCTTTAAGTTTCTCCCAAATTACTATTTTTTGAAATCTAGGATTAATAATAGTTTGTAGTCTTTCCCCAAATGAATGAGCATGACTTTTGTAACTAGATGTAAAGTCTTAAGTTTAATTTTGCTACAACTTATATTTTAAGAAATTGAAGGATACACATTAAACTACAGAAATGTACAAATGTAATATAAAATACCTGTTACCATCATACAGATCAACTGTTAATATTCTGTAAATCTGTTAACCCTCTTTTCCCATAAACAAATAAAACATTACAGATAAAACAGTCCCCCATTGTCCAGTCCTGTTCTCCGCATAGCACAAGGTAATCACTAATGTAAATTATTTTATTCCAATCAATTTATTATACTTTAAAAAATATATATCCACTTTATAAATATTCTCCTATTAACAAACATGTAGGTTGTTACCTTTTTTTTTTTAACTCTTAAAATGTTGCAAAAGCATTCTTATACTCATCTCCTTGTATACAAATGTCTCTCTGGTACTTTAGGAGTAGAACCACTGAGTCTTAAGATATACCTATTTTGCTAGCAGCTGTACTGTCCTAAGATATACTTCCAAATATCTGATATCTTTCAAGCAATTGATACTCTTGAGAGTAACAAACTTCATAATTTCTAATCTGATAGGTATAAAGTGATCTAATTATGGGTTCAATTTGTATCTTCTGGATTACAAGATAATTTGAGTCATATGTCTAACCATCCAGATTTCAACATCCTTAACATAAATGATGATTTCCCCTTCATAAAATGGGACTCAAATTTTGGCCTAAAGCAATGTCTGCGGTTTAAGAAAAGAAAAAAAAGGCTGGTCATTTCTTTAAAAAAGATAGTCAGTCATAGGTGGAAAACCCGAGACAGCATTCATCTCAATATATTTTCACTGAATAATACTAGGTATGGTGTTCACTTACTTAAGAGTTCACAACCTTTTTCTCATCTCTCCTCTCTTTCAAATGCAAATGTCTTTAAAAAGCCTCAGCAATTCTCCTGGGAATTACTGCAGTGAACTCCGGGGTACGGCCTCTTTGCAACACTTTCCCCATTAGAGAGTATCTAAGGTACACACTGGGCTTCCCTCGTGGCTCATTGGTAAAGAACCTGCTGGCCAATGCAGGAGACTCGGGTTCTATCCCTGGGTTGGAAAGATGCCCTGGAGAAGGAAATGGCAACCCACTCCAGTATTCTCCCTTGGAAAATCCCATGGACAGAGGAGTCTGGCTACAGGCCAGGGGGTCACAAAAGAGTCCAACACTAAACAATAGCAACAACAGAGATACGCATCTACTAAATTCGGTTTCTAGGGCTTTCAGGGCGAAATGAAAGTCTCTTACAGCAGCACAAGAGGCTTGCAAAATGCGCCTCTCTGTTTTCCACTATCCACGTGAAATCCCTTGCTCCAATCAGGCTCAGGACTCCGAGTCCAAAATCAGTGCTCTTTTCCCGCCTTTATCATGCTATTTTCCAGGCAAAATGCTCTTCTCTTTCATCTCACTAGCTCCTGCCCATCCCTCAAACTCCATTCAATTATTCCCTTCTCTGCAAAGTCCTACCTCTTTCCACAAGCAGGGTTAGATACTGCCCCTGGAACACCAGAATGGTTCACGATAAACTGCCTCTCCCCTTTATGAAATAATCCCTGCTTAAAAAATTTAGTAAGGCTCAACCAATGTTTGCGAAGTAATGCAGTAAAGACATTACTGTCTGGAGCAAAGACAGCTGGGCCACACCACTCACTACATACCACAGGGCAAGTCTCAAACCATGGACACTTATTTTCACAAAATCTCCTTCTCCCAGCCCCTAGATTCTTGGCACTGAATACCACGTGGGTAAAACCTCAACTCTAATAGAAGTAGGGGACCAAATCCTGCTAACTTTCACTTCCATGGTTCATGTGAATCATCCTAACTCCCACCACTCAAGCCTGTGAGAAGTGGAGCTTTTATGATTTCTCAGAAGGGATGTTTTTATACCTTTGGGTATATTTGCTGTTGTGGTTAACATAACCTCTTTCCCCTTAGGCTACCAAGAACTAACTGGAAACAGATGCAACCTCAGCATTACAAACCTCAACAACCTGAATTGTTTCTAGATTGTTAAGACAGGACACAAGAGACCCCTCCTGGCATTCCCTGGTTACAGGACCTTAGCAAATGTGCTCTCAGCTCGCGCCTGTTTCTCTCTGCTCTCGGAGGAGCCTGGGCTTCCAGCCAGAGTTCGCGCAACAAAAGGAGCCCCAACCCACCAACCCCACGGGATGCAAGGCTGAGAGAGGTCGCAGGGTTTCCCTCGGAAGTCATCGTTTGCCGAAAACTCCCTTTCGCCCGATGAGAAATGGATTTACTCAACAACAACAACAACAAAAAAAGGCCGGGGAAACTGAAAATCCCAGCCATGAAGCCAAGATCTGCGGCAGATGGGCGACCCTGGTCCGGGGCGTTGGGCCGGGCCCCAGTCCCCCTGCCAGGGATATTGATTACCTGCTGCGGGACCGTGGGAACTCCTCGCGGTGCGCAGCCTCAGAGCAGCCGGCTGCCCGCGTCCTCCCTGCAGAGATTGCTGAGCTGGGTCCTAGCTCCTTGCTTTGAGGGTTGGCTGCGCCGCGGCGATTGGCCGAGCTTCGGGGAGGAGCGTCTTCGAAAGCCAATGGGAGGCGAGAACGAGGCCGGAGAGTCGCAGAAACTACAAGTCCCAGCGAGCCCCCGCGGGGCCTTCTGATCCCAGAGGGCAAAGGAACCCAGGGAGGACGGTATCCAGTGAATTAGGGCGGGATGGGGTGAAGGTGGGAGGGTGGTTCTGAAGTGTGTGGAACCAGGGGCGCAGTGATTTCCCCGGAAGGATCGATCCCCAGGGCGCTAAACCGTTTAACGCTCTGCTTCTAATCCTGTGCACAAATTAGAACCCTGTAGGGTGGTAGCTTCATAGGTACTGATGCCTCCGCTTCTCCCTGAAGATTTTGAGTTCTTTGGTTGTGTCTGCCTGTGGCCTGCGTTTTGGAATCTTTAAAGAGCCCCAGGTGATGGGATGTGTTTCATCCTAGTTAACAACCCTAGGAGAGGGAGGCACTGTTAATGTCATCCTAGCTTTACACACGGGGCAACTAAGGAAAGTTATGTCAGGGAGGTTAATTTTCAGAAGATCACATACCTCTGAAGTGGCAGAGCCATAATTCGGACCCAGGCAGTCTAGTTCCAGAATCCGGTGCTTTTAATCTGTATGCAGTGCTACTTCTCAAACGTTAGGTATTATCTCACAGGGAGAGAAAAGTAAAATACTATACATACAAGTACCATGGTGTGGAGCTCAGAAAGTTGAGTTGACTGGAGTTATTATGAGGGAATAAGTCCAGTCCTGCCCAAGGACATCAAACACAAGATATATAGGACTTACATTCATGAGTTGTCTTGTTTCATCTTTTTTGTTTTGGCTGTGTTGGCATGTGTCAAATTAGTTCCCCCGCTGTTGCAGGAAGGGGGACCCTTCCAGGGCCTGAAACTGGGCTCCTGTCTAACACTCAGAAATGAATTGTCTGAGGAAACACATCTGCTGAAAAAGCAAGAGATTTTATTGGGAAAGGGCACCCCTGTGGAGAGCAGAAGGGTCAGGGAAACCAGGAGAACTGCTCTGCCACATGGCTTGCAGTCTTGAGTTTTATGGTGATGGGATTAGTTTCCGGGTTGTCTTTAGCCAATCATTCTGACTCAGAGTCCTTCCTGGTGGTGCCTTGATCAGCCAAGATGGATGCCAGAGAGGAGGATTCTGGGAGGTGGTCCAACATGTGGTGTCTCCTTTTGACCTTTCCCGAACTCTTCTGGTTGGTGGAGGCTTCTTAGTTCCATGTTCCTTACTAGGACCTCCTGTCCTAAAACAACTCATGCAAATGGTTACTATGGTGCCTGGCCAGGGTGGGTGGTTTCAGTCAGTGTGCTTCCCCTAACACCACCAGGATTAAACTCAGGCCCTCAGCAGTGAAAGCACAGAGTCCTAACCACCGGACCACCAAGGAACTCCCTGATGTCATTTTATAATTTTTTTTTTAACTGCAAATCTTGGGTCTGTGTACTACCCTGGGCCTACTACCTGTTTTGTGAATAAAAGTCTAGAGGAACACAGCTGCACCCACTGGTTTAGGTATGACTGTTTGGGAGAACAAGGCAGAGATGAGCTATTGTAGGAGAGACCATGTGGCCCACAAAAGAATGTGTATACTGTGTGACCATTTACAGAAAAAGCTTACCCACCCTGAGTTAAGTACTTGGCCCAAGATCACAGCTTAGAAGTGACCAGGGGCTTCAAGTTCAGGTCCATCCAACCCCAAAGTCAGTTCTCATGACCAGTGTGCTTTCACAGTCTTCCTCAGTGGGAGCATAATGTTATGTGCCAGGTGTGTGGGCTTTAGAAACATTCACAACCTAAAAGTTGAGGATTATGCTTTATTCAGTGGGAATTTTTAAGACTTCGAGTCCAGGGGATAGCATCTCAAGTAACCCTGAGAGAACTGCTCCTAGGAGGAGCCAGGTTATATAGAAGTTTTGCAACAAAGGACAAGTAGTCTGCACATCAAAAGGTTATTGTTAAAGAAAACCAGATAACCCAAGTTAAGGAATTTAGCACTTTTCTAGGTATGGGAAGACGCAAGAGTCTGGACTCACTGAAATCAGTCCCTTGATGTTGCACCTCACTCAGCACAGTATACTGTTTGCACATCCTGAGCTTCCTTGGGGCTCACCATAGGGAGTGGCTGCTGTCTGATGTCTGCTAGATGGCAGGTATTTTTTCCGTCCTGGGTTCCCTCAGGGCTCACCAGCTCACCATCTGTGATTGCAGCTCACAATCTGCAATTGCTGGTGAGGTAACATCCATGTTTACTGATCTGTTGTGGCAGGTCATATCCCATTTCTCAGATGTAAATGAGCATGCAGAGAAATAGGAATCTGTTCCTTACACTTGAGAACTTACTGTCTAGTAAGAGAGGCAGAGCGTCCTTAACCACTCCGTCTGTTCACCCAGAATAAATGGAGACCTCTGGCTGGTTAGACTTTCACACTTGAAATGGAATGAATGTGGTAGCTTGGTGCAAGGCATGTTTAGGCAAACAAAGGGCCCAGGGTAGTCCCCCCAGTCTCCCTCAGCAGCAGTGTGGGCTCAGAGCTCAGAGCTGAAACAAGAGAAGGTGACTGAAAATTGAGGGGCCCCTGGTGATGGTCAGATGAGCCTTAGAAGATGCTGTAAGGTGGCTAGCCTAGGCCAGCTCCGGGGAGGAGGCTGAGATTCAAGAGGCTTGGAGTGGGAACTTGTACATGGTGGGCTCTGTCATCAAGTTATCTGGATTCAAATTCCAGTTTTACCACTTATAAGCTATGTGACCTAGGCAAGCCACTTAGCTTCTCAGCGCCTGGGTTTCTTCAACTGTCAAATGGAAAAAGAAAAAAAAAAAAAAAAAGCACCCAGACTTCCCTGGTGGTCCAGGGGCTAAGATTTCACACTCCCAATCTCCCAATGCAGGGGGCCCAGGTTCCATCCCTAGTCAGGAAACTGAATCCCACATGATGCAACTAAGACCTGATGCAGCCAAATAAATAAATAAAAGAATTTTAAAAAGAAAGAAAGAAAGAAAAAACAGTACCTACTTCACAGGGCCTCTCTGGGAATTAAATTTATTAACCCAGTACTTAGCACCAAGTAAGTGCCCTATGAGGGCTTCCCTGGTGGCTCAGAGGTTAAAGTGTCTTGCCTACAATGCAGGAGACCCGGGTTCGATCCCTGAGTCAGGAAGATCCCCTGGAGAAGGAAATGGTAACGTACTCCGGTATTCTTGCCTGGAGAATCCTATGGATGGAGGAGCCTGGTAGGCTACAGTCCACGGGGTCGCAAAGAGTCGGACATGACTGAGCGACTTCACACACACACAAATGCCCTATAAATATTAGCTACTCACTGTGTAATAAGATGCCTGTGGCTGCTGAGCTATAAATTAAAATTCCCAGTGAGGAAAAGAAGATGGGGATCTGAATTTCAGCACTGCCTGGGCATCTGTACCCCTCAAAGAATGTCACCCAGGTAGGGGGTGTCCTCTGCCAGTGGTAAGCACCAGGAGCAGAGGTCAGTGCCAAAATAGCACACAGACGGCAGGAAGGTGGCAGGCCCCCAGTGGACACAAGCACATGGGGATCTCCCCATCAAATGCCCCTGGCCGAATTCTCATGGGAAAAGTCACCGTCTGGGGACTCTTGCCACCGTACCACATAAGCAGAGGTTAATGAGGCTCAGCCGGATAGGGATGTGGTGGGTAACTGTCACCACAGATAAGAACCCTGAGGAACCATGGCAGGTTAAGAGTCTTTTCTTATCTAATGGTGGGAGATTAAGTGAGAGATTATGATTATAAAGCAACAAGAGTTGGGGAGAGTGTGAAAGCAATTGGTTAGGTCTAGAGCAAGTTTATCAATGCTTCTCAGCATTAACATATTTGAGGCCCAGTTATTTTTTTGTTGGTGGGAAGGTGGGGTTGTCCTGAGCATTTTAGGATGTTTAGCAGCATCACAGGCCACTATCTCCCCAATGCTAGAAGCGCTCCTCTCTCAAGTTGTGGCAGCCAAAAACATCTCCAGACTTTGCCCAAAGCTTCCCCCATGGTGAGAACCTCTAATTTAGAGAGAGAGCAAGCTGAATATATCATTCACTCATTCCATTTGATGTGACGGTTAAAGGCCTAGATGGTGAATCCAGACCACCTGGGTTTCCATTCCATCTCCACCACTTCCTGACTGTGTGATCCTGGACAATTGCTTCACTTCTTTGTGCTTTGTAGAGCTGTTGTAAAGATCAAATGAAATAACATGTGCTGTATGCTCAGCCTCTTCCATCGTGACTCTTTGCGACCCTATGGACTGTAGCCCACCAGGCTCCTTTGTCCATGGGATTCTCCAAGCAAGAATACTGGAGTGGGTTGCCATGCCCTCCTCCAGGGAATCTTCCTGACCCAGGGATTCAACCTTCACCTCTTATGTCTCCTGCATTGTCAGGCGGGTTCTTTACCACTAGTGCCACCTAATGAAAAAACTTAGTTCAGAGTCCAGCCAAGTGTCAGCTATTCACTGAGTATGTGAATAAGTATGTGATAAGTGCTGGACCCTAGCCTAAGCCCCAAGGGTCTCTACATTCAATTCTTCCCACCACAAACAGACTGGACTTGTTTTAAACTTAAATATGTCAATGGAAGTATAACATGCATAGAGGAAAATGCACAAATTATAAATGTATAGCTCCGTACATTTTCACAGAGCAAATGCATCCAGGTAACCAGCCCCTGGATGAAAACCTGAGCTTGGCCAACACCCTAGAAGACACCCTAAGGCCTTCTTCAGATGGTCTTTTTTTTTTTTTTAATCGTCCTACCCCCTCCTTCCCCTAAGCATTTTTTTTTTTGGTAACAACCTAATTTTATTTGTTTGTTTGTTTTTACTTTTTGACTGTGCTGCATAGCATGTAGAGGTCTAGTTCCCTGACAAGGGATCAAACCTGCGCCCCCTCCATTGGAAGCTCTGAGTCTTAACCACTGGACCGTTA